TATATATATATTTTAAGAAACTAAATAAGTAATATATATAGCAACAAGTTCTTCTCTACATCCGGTGCAGTTACACCACCGGCGGACCGCTGGCCCGGCCCGCTTGAAGCCTTATCTGCCTGTTAAACCGTCTTATAAACTCCTCAATTCTTCTGTTCAATTCTTCATCCGACATTCTCGAAAACTCATCTTCCTCCAAAGTGGGCCCCACACGATCATATTTGTCCGACAACGTTTTCCTCATGACCAATTTCTCCTCATTTTCTCGCGATATATTCAATTTCCCCGAGTTAGATCGAACGCATTTTTTCGGCTCATTTAAATTTTTACTTTCGAAGTAATTTTTTCCAATCATTTTCTCACCCGAAATATCATTCACCTTTTCACCGTCTTCGAATTTCTTAACATTTTTACTTTCCACGACTTGTATTATTTTCTCACGAGTTTCTTGATAAATTTCTTTTTCACGATATTTTACCACGAATGACGGGTCGCCATATGTCGTGGTGCTGAATTTACGATATTCATCGTGAAAGTCGTCAAGATTTTCTCGGGAGGCGCTAAAATCGGCCGCGATGATGAGAATAAGGGTGTTAAGTGTAATAAACCAAAACTTGGGGGTACACAAGAGATTTGAGGGTGAGAGGTTGAAAGTGTAAAACACTGAAATGTAAATTGTGATGGATGCCATAAAGGCCCATAATGACATCCGGTTGGAATTGTTGGGGTGTTTTTTGAATTTCTCGAAATTGAGGGTGCTTTGGTTGTAATTTAAAAGTGAGATGGCCATTTGTGGAGAGTTTTTAGAAACTAATAAAATTTTTTGGGTGGGTGGGGTGGGGGGGAATTGGATTGAATATGAAGAGGTGTTATTTATAAGGGGATTTTGGGTAGGACAAAAAAATATAATATTGAATTAATAGTATGCATGATGCATGATGCATGTTATATATGTCATAGTTTAGGTTTGGCTAATAATTGAGTAGCTTGAAATTACATTCCTAACCTTTGGTTATTTAGAACATTAATTAATATACAATGTGATATAGACAACCTGTCATATCTACTTAAAAAAAAATGTAAAACATTACTATGAAGTATCATTTTAGTTATAGTATATTTCACAACTTTCCCTTCTAATTAATTATTTTCTCCATAAAAAAATCAAATATAAATTAAAATTGAACTTAAAAGCCATGAGATAGAATGTGATTGATTATTACAATTCTAAGGGTAGTTTGTATAGAGAAAATTGTAATTCATGTGGATGTAATCTTATCTTCATAAGAAGTGGTTCGTAATAGTATTAAATAAGACAAAAATAGTTTATTTTTTATATAGTTCACAGACAAAAGAGAAGTGTATTGCATGTTAGGATTTCTTTTTTTGAGCAGATTTTTTGCAAGAAACTTTGGGCAAGTTGTGTTATGCCATTTAGACTGTGTACAGCTTGCTTGGATTGTGTTTTTTGTTTAAAATGAGTATTGTTATAGTCAGCTATATTACCTCGATAAAGAGTTTAAGATATCTAATAAATATTCGAAGTTCGATTAAAATCGAGGAATAAAAATAGTCCGCGAACAATTTGACAAGTTCATCGTGCAAGGAGAGTTTATTCTAGGTTGATGTAAAACTTAGGAGAAATCGGAGCCTTTTGAAGGTCATGTAAGCAAGTTCGAAAAGAAGGAATTTTATTAAGACATAAAATTTATGAGATATTCAGAATATTTTCATGATTTTGGCATAATAGAAGAACTTAGAGAAAAAATATCATATTTACTTATTAATAAGTCCTTATGTATGAAAAATTGGCTTGAATTAATTTTTGATGCACGTAAAAACTAAGTCTAATATCAGAGTATTGAGTAATTACGTTGGGAATCCTCTCATAATTTTATAGGTCATTAAATTTTGATCCAACTTACAAGAACCTTGTTTAGAAGGTGCGAGAATCAAGTATGAAATTACAATTTTTTATATATTTAATAATAAAATAAAAGAATAATGTTATTTACTCAACTTAAATGACAACTTGGGTTACAACTCAAATATAAATATTTTATCAAAAAACTAAAATATATTGTATTTACACTTGAGTTAGTAACCTATGTTGTCATTTAAATGNAATCATAACTCACATCTTTAGTTTATCACTATTAGATTTCACGCCCGACACTAAAATCCATTGCATGAGGTAACAAAATTTGACCCCATCTTCTAAAAGTCTAGCACAAACATTTCATCTTTTGCATATAATTGCGTTTGTGGGCCTTAACAGTAGTTTAATTTTTTTCTTGTCTTACAAGTTTACCCATTGAAAATTTAATTTTTTAAAGGACGTGGCAATCAATCATATTGCATAGGCCGCTAGATTTCCGCCACGTAGCTAGTGCGCATTGCATTTTGATCCCCGCCGCCCATCTTGCCGATTAAAGTATTAGCATTAATATAAACCCCTCATATTGGGAGCTTTATTTTGTCAATTCACATAATTGTTAAATAAAGGACAATTATTAGCTAATGATCTATCTCGAGTTTCCTAATCATTTTTAAGAAGACTAAAAAAATTAGTTACCTACTAAACATTGACCCGGGAGCATGTAGTTAATTAGTGCCGTATACATCAAATTTATATGAAACGTAATTGATATTTCCATTGTAATTATAATTATGTAGAAGCTGAATCGAACTCAATCTCGGGCTCGAGTCTTTATCAAAGTTAATCGAATCGAGTTGAGTTCAGTCGAATTTGACTCATTAAGTTATCGAGTCGATAAATAAGATGAAGCTCAGCTATGTTAATGAGTTTTAACGAGTCGATATTGGATCTTAATTAAATAGACGTATTATGTTAATAGTTTAAAAAACTACGTAAAAGAAATAATTATTTATCAAGCCTGACAAACTAAGCCTATGAGATTCAACGACCCCATCAACAAGTCAATACAATTTAATTTTAGAAAAAGAAAACAAAATTAAACATATTATGAATATAATTATTAGAGTTGTAAAACGAAACGAGATGTTCGTGTGTTCGTCGGTAAGACTCATTAGGCTTGAGAAATGAGACTTTTTAAGTAATTTTATGAATCATTACCTAACTCAACTCATTAATTTTAACTCAACTCAAAGTAGAGCTCATTATCGACTTGATAGATTAATGAGTCAAAGTTTGAATATAAAAATTCAAACTCGGTTTGACTCATTTACCGTTATCTCTCTTATTCTTATAAGAAAAAATGTAAGGCCAACATATGCATGACACGTGGCATGTTTGTGGTCTTTTGGAGACAATTCTTGACAGCCACGTGGCGCCCTTTTCTTCTCATTTCTTTTGGCCGTTTTTTTTCTTTTTCTTTTTAATTTTGAAGAGCTAAACGACGTCGTTAATCGTATAAGGTGGATTTTTAAATGACTAAAAATCCCTAAACTTTTTCATAACATTGCAACACATAGGGCTATTGTCGTCAAATTAATCTTACAATCTATCTTTCTTCTACACGAAGTTTGTAAGATTTCTGACAACTTTTTTTTTCTACACGCAACCTCTCTTTCATCTACTACACTTTTCTCTTACTTTGATCGAAAGAAATAATTTCGCCGTCACGTTCATTCCCAATTCTCTTCTACCTCTCCAACCCTAATAACCCAATTAATCTTGCGGTGGTGGAAGCTTGAGGGATGTCGAGAAATTTGGGTGTTATTTTTGTGGATGGATCGACCGCCGGCGACGGCAGGGCCGATGGGGATGGATTTACCGAAGCATTCGCTAGACGTTTTCGTAATTTTCATGGAGCAGTGCCTTACCGGGTAAGTCTCCACCTATCACATATTTCATTGGTTAGACTGAAGATCTCAAAAGTCCTTTCTCCGTCGGATCTCAATATTTTCTTTTTGCTTTTGTGAATATTGATCGCGAACTCTCAAGCAAAGGAGGTGCCGCCGGTGCAAGACTGAGTGTTGCCGAAAGAATTGAGACCTCGAAAGTTGGGATCGTTCTGAATTTTCTCTCTTCTCATACCCGCACTCCATCTTTTTTCTCTTAATTTCTTACAATACTTACTTCATCGCCCCTATTTCGGCCCTCTCTCAGGCTCAATAATCGGCTGTGCAACTGAAGTCTCATAGAAGAAGACGAGGTCTAGAGCCTGAAATCAGTGGTATAAATACGTAGGTCCCATGGTCACCGGCGTTTCAACCCCATGTGTTTGTAGAAACACGCAATCAGATTCAAGGAGAAGCCCGTTGAGTTCGTAGCCAGGGATGAGGCCCGATATGTCTGAGGACGAGAAGTATGAAGAGTTAGTTCTCTTCACTTTGCTTTCAGTTTCTCGCGCAATTGTTTAATTTTAGAGTTTTAGAGGTTTTTTGTGGTGATTTTTTATTTGTGTTAACAGTCTCGATGGTCTCTTGTTTTGGTGCAGATTGACAAAGGAAAGTTTCATTTGTGAGGACTGTGGGATTTGCAGGTTTGTTGAAAATACTAATATTAATACACGTCCCTTCCTCTTTTTTTTTTCTTTTTTTTTTTT